GCCCGTCCTGGATCCATCCCGCCGTGTTTCCCGGCAGTGCCGTGCCCTGGCACAAAGGCCCCTCCAGGCCGTGCCGGGCAGACACGGCTCCGGCCCTGCACAAAGACTCTTTTAGCCGCCCGGGAAAGCCCCTGGCACCCGGCCCTGGCTCTCACCACCCCCTGCCATGGGCCAACAGGGGCGAAAGGGGCAAAAGATCCCCCAAACTCAGAGCACGTGTGGATGGTGACATCGTCGCACACACAGCTATGGTGGGATAAGTCCCCTCTGGATCTGGGATGGGGACGGGAGTCCTGAGTCTCGTCCGGGCGCCAGGGCCACCAGCCAGTGCTTCCACAGATCCAGTGGGATGGGAAGGACTTTGAAGGCTTCAGCCACTTAATTAACACCTGGCTTTAATTAATAGCCTGGAGTGATGGGCTGCTTGTGCCAGGGCTCATCTTGGGGGATGTGACATGGGGAGGATACGTACATGTGTGTGCCCACGTGTGGGTGTGTGTGCCCATGTGTACATGTGTATGTGCCCATGTGTGTGCCCACATGTGTGTGCCCACGTGTGGGTGTGTGTGTGCCCACGTGTGTGCCCATATGTACATGTGTATGTGCCCATGTGTGCATGCGTATGCCCACACGTGTGTGTGTGTGTGCCCACGTGTGGGTGTGTGTGTGCCCACGTGTGGGTGTGGGTGTGCCCGTGTGCCCACGTGTGCATGTGTGTGCCCACATGTGGATGTGCCTGCGTGTGCACAGTGGGATGGCTCTGTGTGTGTGTGTGTGCTGTGTGTACATGGAAGGGTAACTGGGCATGTGCCACTCTGGCATGTGTGTGCACGTGCACACGTGTGTTGGCCTGGCTGTGCCTGTGTGTGCACAGCACGGTGGCTGTGCCCGTGCACACTGTGTGTGTGTGGAAGGGGAGCTGTGTGTGCACAGCTCTGGGTGCATCCCATGTCTGTGCACACGTGTTCAGGGAAAGCAGCACACGTGTGTATCTGTGCACACTGTGTGTGTCCCCACGTGTGTGCCAGGCAGGCACATGTGTGTGCCTTGCACATGGGGTGTGTGTTTGTGGACATGGACAGACGTGTGTGTGTCTCTGGAGGTGTCTGTGTGCACGTGGGTGCCTGTGGGTGTGCACACGTGTACGAGTGGAGATGCAGGTGACTCCACACGTGTATGCACAGATCTCACATGTACATGTGTGTGGATCTCCCACGGCACCACACCCAGCCTTGCACCCACCCCCACCCGCTGGCTGCCCTGGGGGTGAACTTGGCCACTGCTCCATCTCTGCCCTGCCCTGTGCCCCAGGCCCCCCAGGGGGGGCAGGGGGTGGGCAGGGGGCTGTGCCACGGTGCCCAGGCTGGGTGCCAGGGCACAGACACCCCTGCCAGGCGCCACGGCCTGGCTTTGTGCCGGCCCACTGGCTCCCTGGCTGGCGGCCAGTGCCGGGGCACCCAGCGGGACGGGGGCTCCGTGCTCCATAAAAACCCTCGGGAGGGCACATCACACCCACCCCGGGCATGGAGAGCCAGCGCCCGTCCTCCTACAGCCGCCGCTTTGGCCCCGCCACCCCCATGCACCGGGTGCCCCCCGCCAGCCCCTCAGTCCGGAGCCACCGGGGACCCCGCGGCGCCCACCCGGCCGCCCGGCTGGGCTCGGGCAGGATGGACTTCTCACTGGCCACGGCGCTCAACTTGGAGTTCCGGGAGACGCGCACCAGCGAGAGGGTGGAGATGATGGAGCTCAACGACCGCTTCGCCAGCTACATCGAGAAGGTGCGGCTGCTGGAGCAGCAGAACAAGGTGCTGGTGCTGGAGCTGAACCAGGCGCGGGACCAGGAGCCCTCCCGCCTGGGGGACGTTTACCAGGAGCAGCTGCGGGAGCTGCGGCGCCACGCGGAGCAGTTGGGCACCGCCAAGGCCCGGCTGGAGATCGAGAGGGACAACCTGGCCCAGGACCTCGGCAGCCTCCAGCAGAAGTAAGGCACTGTCCAGCTGGGGCTACTTCTGGGGACCAGGGTGGCCACCAGGAGCAGG